TTTTTTTTTTTTTTTTTTTTTTTGCTATTGAAATCCATAGCATTGCAAACTATTTAAAGAGTTAGAAATACGTTTTGGACATATTGTTAAATGGAAGTTAGAAGCTGCAAAATATTGGTCAAATACAAAAGTGTGGTATTTATGTAATTCACAAAGACCCAAGAATGAGAGAACATAACACGTTAGCTATTTAATTGATTTATTTTCTATGTGTTTGCTTAGGATTTATGTTTTAGAGCAAGTATCTTTAAAAATGTTGTAAAATTATATCCAAAGATTTTAGCTTAAATTATGGACTGAACATTTATTTTCATTTGAAATTCTGAAATTCAGATAAGATTCAAAATCCAAAACATTGAGTAGCAACAGGATAGCATAAATGCAAAATTCTACATCCAACTTCACGCCATGGGCCACAGTCAAATCATCTTCAGGGCGTGATTATAAAGAAACGAGTTTCAGGTTTAGGCTTGTATTCAACCCCAATATCTCTCATTATGTATACGCAAATATTCACACATGCAAATCTTCCCAAACCAGAAACACTTCTGGCTCCAAGTAAATTCCTGTCATGAGTATATTGGATAAAGGTTTTTAAACCCGTATTTCCTCTGTGAATTCTCCCTACTCCCTTGCTCCAATACTACTGCACACAGCCTGCAAGATCTTTCATCTTTATTTCTGATCAAACAGATCTCAGAGCACAAAATCAAGGTTTTTCTGACTTGGTCTTGACCGCTAGTCTGGGAGAAATGGGAAAACTCCTTGTTGAGGCACCTAGGATGCTATATGCCCTAGGTGGGTGGAGGAGGAAGCACCTGGCAGAGCCACTGCCCTACTGCCCAGGGTGGACCCGATTGAGAAGACAACATACCTGGGAATGCAACAGTTGGACACGGTCGCTGGAGTCCAGGAGCTCCTGCTCCGACAGCCGGCGGGTCCGCTCTGTCTGCTCCAGGGCCACCTTCATCTCCTCTAGCTCCTCCTGCAGGAGGCCATTCCTGCGCTCCACGATGGCCAGCTGTTCCTTGAGGTCCTCATTGCTTCTCAGGGAATCGTCCAGGTGCAGCTGGGAATCCTTCAAGGGAAACCAGGAGTGAGAGCCGAGCTTCAGGGTGGGCTCTGGGCTCACAGGTCTGCCAAACCAGCCGGAGCTCACCTTAAGCTGGCCCTGGACCGTGCGCAAGTGTTTCTGGGTTTCTGCCACCTGACGGTTGGCATGGCTCAGCTGAATCTCCATCTCATTGAGATCGCCCTCCATCTTCTTCTTCAACCTCAGGGAGTCATTGCGGCCGCGGATTTCTGCATCTAACACACTCTGCATGGCCTCCACAGCACGCTGACTGTTTCTTTTTATTTGTTCAATTTCCTCATCCTTTTCCGTGACCTTGCGGTCGAGCTCAGATTTTACCTGGCTTAATTCTAGCTGAACACGCAAGATCTTGCTCTCCTCATGTTCCAAGGAACCCTAAGGAGCAATGAGAACTTCATGAGTAGCACTGCATCCTCTCTCTCTCTCTCTCTCTCTCTCTCTCTCTCTCTCTCTCTCTCCTCTCTCT